CATAAAAATTTTACGAAAATTTTTCATAGAAATGTGTTACATTAAAAATTTGGGAAAAGTGTCTATACATTTAAATTACACAACTTACATCCTTTCACTCTCACAAAGAGGTGGGACCCACAACTTTATTTTTTTTGTCAACTCTCTCTCCTCCTTTATCTATCTCTTTCTCTCTCTTAAAATGACACAACTTTACATCCTTCAAAATTATACACACTTTTCCCTAAAAATTTTGATGGAAATGTTTTTTATCAAAAAACTTGACGGAAATATTTTTCATCGAAATTTTTTATGGAAATGTGTTTCGTTAAAAATTTCAACAGAAATTTTTTTGTCAAAAATTTTAACGAAATTTGGATTCAGTACAGAATTTTGATGAAATTTTTTTTTCGTCAAAAGTTTTCGAAGGAAATGTGTTTCATGGAAAATTTTGATAGAAATATTTTTTTGTCAAAAATTTGGATAAATATGTTTTTTTATGAAATATTTTGAAGAAATTTATATTCCGTAAAAAAATTCGACAAAAAAAATCTTCCGTCAAATTTTTTACAGATATGTTTTTAGTCACAAATTTCGATGAAAATATTTTCGTCAAAAAAATTTTTGGAAAATTTTGATGGAAATGTTTTCCGTAAAAACAACGTGAACAATTTCTATAAGAATCATTTCGTCCTGAGAGTTCCAAAAAAATGAAGATTCTTGCAAGAAATAGTTGGTCAACTACCTATAACCGGGAGAAACAAACGACTACTTATAAAAATAGCAAAATCTATCAAAAATCGATTTTGAATTTGTTAAAAAACCGGTTTTGAACTTGATAACCGGTTTATTGTTCAAAACCGGTTTTGATTTAAAACCGGTTTTGAATTAAAATCGATTTAAACCAGTTTTAATTCAAAACCGGTTATAAACCACAAACCGGTTTGGACAATTTGAAAACCGGTTTTTTTAATAAAAAAAAAGTGGTTCGGTTTAAAATCCAAACCGTTTAAAACTGGTCTGGTTTGGTTTTTGACAATAACTGAACCGAACCGCTCCATGCACACCCCTATTGGTATCAAAGCTCCGTTCTTGGAGCTTGGTAAATGGTATCCACGCCTGGAATGGAGATCGGAGGAGATACACTGGAGGAAAGGGTGCGCATAAGTGAAAAAGGTCAGCAGGAGGTGTTGCGTCGATTGAATGCAGCTGAGGTTGGCCAGGCGAAGGTCCTCAGGCGCTTGGACGCGTTGGCACAACAAGTGGCGATGATGGGTAACAGGGCACAACCCAGAAACGAAGAAGATCGTGGCTCAGATGGGTCCATTGGGTGAGGGGTACATCGTGTTGGAGGAGCAGAGAGAGGATTGAGGCGCTTGGAGGTTCCAATCTTCTCCGAGGATGACACATTTGGCTAGTTAAGTATAGTGGAGAGGTATTTTGTGGTTTAATGGAGTCGCGAAAGAGGACAAACTTCAATCAGTCTTGGTGGTGCTGGAAGGAGAAGCTCTAAATTGGTTTTAATTGTGGGATATTAATACCACCGGTGCCAATTGGGGTATATTCCCGAGGGAATTTCTTAGTAGGTTCCAGCCAGAAGCTTTGGAAAACTCGTACCACTCTTTGTATTCTCTCAAACAGATAGGTTTTGTGTCTGATTTCAGGATCGATTTTGAAAGAGTGGTGGGAGAGCTGAGATTCGAAGACGAAGAACTTTTGAAAAGGGCTTGGTTGAACGGAGTGAAAGACAGCATAATAGAGGAGCTCTTGATGAATCCAACGCTGAGGTTGTCGAATATGATGAACATTGCATTGAAGATCGAACGAAGGAACTAGGCGTGGGTAGAAGAAGGAGTAACATTCACTAGAACGACAGCGTTTGGAACAAGAGGGGCTTCAACACGTAAGTTTAGATTGGGCCCAAATGAAATGAGGCCTAACTCAAATGGGGCTAGTTCAATATCATTGAAAGGGGTCCAAATCACAAATCAAAATGTGGGCAACCCTAATTCCCAATTCTCTGACGGAAACAAAGGAGGGGGAACTTTAACGGGTGGCGTCGCACAACCAAGGTCGATGGGCAATCCACAACCGACAAAAAGTCAGGGAAGCAAGAATCGTCGTTTGACACAGGAAAAACTTAAGGAGCGACATAAGAAGGCTTGTGTTTCAAATGCGAAGAGAAATGGAACCCGAGCCACCGTTGCTGCATCTGTCAGTTGTAGCTTCTGCTCATCGACGAAGACGACAACGAGGTGGGAATGGGGGTCACTGTTCCAAAAGATGCAGAGGTGAGGGAGGTGTTGCTTCAACTCTCCATGCAAAGTCTGATGGGGCTCTTCAAGCCAAACATTGAGAGTGAAGAGGACTATTAATGGGCACGACGTGATGGTTTTAGTGGATAGTGGTGCGTGTAACAATTTCTTGGCCCAGCAACGAGTTCAAACACAGGGTATTGGGGTTGAAGACACACCAAAGTTCCAAGTGGAAGTTGGGGATGGTCATAAAGTATCCTGCCAATGAGTGTATAAGAACGTCAAGGTGACCCTCCAAGGCGTTGACATCGTTCAAGATTTCTACTTGTTTGACCTGGGCGAAATTGACGTGGTTTTGGGTATGGATTGGTTAGAAATTCGAGCAAATTTCAAGCACAGGACTCTGACATTTGGGGCACCTGGTAAGGAGGTCACCTTGAGGGGGGACCTGGTTTGGTAAGAGAAGAGGCATCCTTCCATTCCCTGATGAAGGCACTACGGGATGATGGGGAGGGGTATCTGTTGACGCGTAAAACTCAGGCAAGCCGTTCATCAGATGACTAGCCAGCACTATAACAGTTGCTCCAAGAATACACTGACATCTTCCAAGAGCCAAAAAGGGTGCCACCGAAGAGATTGCAGGACCATGCCATCACTTTAAAGCCTGGAAATCAAGTTTTGTCTTGTCGCCCTTTCAGGTATCCTCATCACCAAAAAGATGAGATTGAGAAATTAGTGGTTGAATTACTTGACAATGGAATAATTCGACACAACATTAGTCCCTATGATAGTCCTGTAATTTTGGTGAAAAAGAAAGATGGTAGTTGGCGTGTGTATGTAGACTACAAGGCCCTCAATCGGATGATAGTTTCGGATAAATTTCCTATGCTTGTCATAGAGGAGTTGTTGGATGAAATTGGAGAGTCCAAGGTCTTTTCCAAGTTAGACCTGAAGTTTGGATACCACCAAATACGAATGAGGGAAGACGACATTCCTAAAATTGCATTTTGCACGCATAAGGGACACTATGAGTATTTGGTAATGTCGTTTGGGCTAACCAATGCTCCAGCTTCGTTTCAATCCTTGATGAACGAGGTTCTCAGGCCTTTCTTGCGCAAATTTGTGTTGGTTTTTTTAGATGACATTTTGGTGTATAGCACAAATGAGTTGCAGCATCTGCATCATTTGCGACGTGTGCTTGAGGCTTTACGAAGTAATTAGTTGCAAGCAAACAAAAAAAAATGCAATTTTGGACTGGATAAGGTGGAATACCTGGGTCATATAGTCTCGGCAAAAAGGGTGATGGCTTATCTTCAGAAAATGCAGGCTATGATGGAGTGGTTGAACTAAGTACAATCAAAGGGCTGAGGGGATTTTTGGGCCTCACGAGCTATTATCGGAAGTTTGTTAAAGACTATGGAAAGTTGGCCAAACCAGTCACAGAACTATTACAAAATGATAAATTTAAATGGAACGAGGAGGCTCAATCAGCCTTCGATCAACTGAAGAACATTATGAGCACAGTCCCTGTGTTGGCTATCCCAAATTTTGATAAGCCTTTTGTGGTGGTTACTGACGCGTCTGGAAAAGGTATAGGGGCTGCCTTGATGCAAGAGGGCCGCCCCATTGCATACATCAGCCAAGGGTTCTCTCCAAGGGCCATGGGGAAGTCAATGTATGAAAAGGAACTTATGGCAATAGTTTTCACAGTCCGCAAATGGCTTCACTATTTCATGGGACGTCATTTTCTGATCAAGACAGATCAAAAAAGCCTACAGTTCTTGACTAAAGAGCAAGTGTTAAATGAGTAACAACAAAAATGGTATTCAAAGCTTTTTGGGTTTGACTTTGAGATCCAATATCAGCCAGGCAAAGAGAATCTCGTAGCAGATGCATTATCCCGTAGTATGAAAAGTTAATGAAAAGTTAAGTCCAAGGTACTATGGCCCTTACAAGGTGGTTGCGAAAGTGGGTACCACAGCTTATAAACTGGATCTACCTCCCTCTTGTCGCATTCATCCCGTCATCCATGTCTCATTGTTGAAATGAGCCATTGCTGTTCCAAATTTGGCACAACCCATTCTAGCTCAATTGACAGAGGAGTGGGAACTGCAGGTAGAACCAGAACAGGTGCTGCAGTGGCAACGTATGTCCGATGGCCCTTTGGAAGTGTTGATCAAATGGCAACACCTCCCTACTTTAGAAAACACCTGGGAGAACTTTGCAGATATGAAACAACAATTTCCAGCATTCAACCTTGAGGACAAAGTCCTTAAATTAGGGGAAAGTATTGATACGGGCCCATATCCTAAGGTCTACGCACGCAATAGAAACAGGGCCCAAGCCCAAACAAGCCCAGCTGTTGAATTGGTGGAGAAGCTGTTAGCGGAAGAAGGTTCTAGTAGAAAGTTGCAACTGCAAACAATTGAGGAGGAGGGAAAGGTGAACTGAATAAGAGAAGGGGGTGGGAAGCATGGAGGGCATCTTGGATCGGAGTGGAGATTGGAAAACTTGAGAGACTAGAGCCTCTTGAATAACTCTAGCTTATCAGTGTTATTTCCTATATTACTACTGTAATTGTCTTTCTCGATTGTCCTCGTAATTGGGATTATCGTTGTAATTGTTATTGAACGGCGTGTTGTTTCCATTTTAATGCACTGTTGTTGATTTGTCTCTAATAATTTTTGTTGTCGCTATCAGAATACATTTTTGAAGATTCAAAAAGAAATGTTTCTGTACAATAGGTAAATACAACAAACAGCACCATGATAGCACCAGTTATTGAACCAGTGACTTCCAATTTAAACAAAACCCCTTATCTCATCAAGGGGCATTAATATTGTGCGCGTTTAAACAAATTAAAAACAAGTCATAAAAGTACATATTAACACAAAATTTCAGTGGCTGAGGTACAAACATCAGCGCAATTCATCAAGTGGATAATGAATGAAGGACATTTACAGGTATAAATTGTGCAACAAGTCATGCTTCTACAGTTCTACTTCGTCACCATGCTCCTACAGCTGGCCCAACCTTTCCTGCATAAAAGCAAGAAACAATTTGAATCCAAGTTTTAGAGCAGCATAAGAAAAAAAAAAATGCAATTTTAGTAAACAATAATTATATAGATCAAAGAGATGCCAAGTCATTTTATTCAGTTAAGTAATAGAAGAATGCTAGAAAGTGAGAAAATATGTCACAGCATGAAAACTAAGAAAACATAAATGGGAGGAGGATATTCACAGGCTAGATACAAGTTCTGCAGAAACAGCAAGTCATATACATAACCAACAAACAGGAAAATCCTTATAACAGTTCCGCAGTTCACCACTCCCCACCCTTAATCAACCAAAAACAAGAGATATTAGGAAACTACGAGAGTTTGGACATTGTTCATTAGGTATAAAAAATTAAAAACCATTCCACTGGCCTCTTCCTCTGTAAGAAGCAAATATAATAACTTTGAAATAAATTCCAAGAACAACAACCTGAAGCATCTGCATTAATTTTGGATGCTGCTCCAAAAGCTGGCAAAGTTTGTCACGGTCTCTCAATAAAGACTGCCATATCAGGAGTAGAATCATAAGATTAAAACAGGGCTACTCAAATGTCTATCTCTAATAAAAAATTGCATGGAAAATACCTGAATTGCCTCTGGAGATTTGAAATACTCATGTAATGACATTCCTGCATCGAGTTGCTGCTGCGATTGAGAATCACCAGACTGTTGAGGCTGCTGCTGCTGCTCGTGTGAAATCTGTTGCTGCTGGGTTTGATAATATGCCTGCATTGAAGAAACCTGAGAATGCTGCAGCATCTGTAACTGATGCACTTGAGCATTACTTTGCACAGCCATGCCTTGCTCTAACTGCTGTAAAGCTTGAACAGGTGGCCTAAGGAGCTGAGGTGGTTGTGGAGGTCGTGGAATCTGGGGGGGCTGCAGTGGCTGCAATTGAGTAATTGAATGCATTGACTGAAAGGAAGCTGGAGGAATGGAGACACTTTGCAAGATGCTTGGCTGGTTCTCATTCTGTTGCTGATTTGTGGGGTTACCAAAGAGAGTTAATGGCATGGAAGCTGGCCTACTAAAACCCAAGGACAGCATCGAGGGGTTTAGTGGGTATGATGACATTCTGGATCCTGAAGGCGCAACGGAGGCCTGGGAAAGTTCAGCTGTCCCAACACTTGTCTGATTATATAGAGAAGGTGAAGAGGCAGAAGTTTTAACAGATGATAAATTATATGAACTTGATGCAAAAGGAGGTGGTGTAGGCGGAAGGGGAGGAGCGAGTCTATTAGGTCCACCAGGAGAAGATGCAGAAGTCCTGGAATACTTTGAATCTGGCATGGGAACAGAAGATGCTAATGATGATGGGGTTGAACCATTGTTGAATGGAGTTGAATAGTCCGACTGAACCTGCAAAGAAGAATTATCAAAGTAGTAGGGGCTGATCCAGAAGGAGAAATAAGAAAGAGAAGATAAGAAGATTCATATGACTGAAGTAGTAGCCAGTAAAGAAGGAAATAACTAAAGAACAAGGAGGCGATGTTCCTCACATGGAATGCCACTGGACGCTGTGCACCTGCTGGAGTATTAACAAATGGGGATGACTGACTAGGAACTGAATCTGTAGCATGCGATATTACAGGCGAGACATTTGGTGGAGGGGGCATGGGTGGTAAAGGAGGTTGGTTATGCAAAAACCTCTGATCATACAGTACTTGAGATCCTGTAGCATTACCACCATGTTGCGGGCTGTTCTTTAGAAAGAAATTCTGAGAAGCCATCCTTGAATCAACTGGCAATTGCATAGATGTTGTGGATGGATTATTGTACCCTGGAAATCCTGAACTATTTGCTGCTGCAGAATCATATCCGCCAGAGTGAACAACATTCTTAGAGTCATCAGCCTGATCAGCATACTTCCTGTCAGAAGAAACACTTGATTCACGAGTTAATGACATATCCGGACGTGAACCGGACATCTTTGAAGAAAATTCACTTTGGGCATTTTCATCAATGTTAGATCCTAATGGAGTACCCATATGAGAAAATTGACTACTATCAACAACATCACTTTCTGTCTCTTCAACAATTGAGTGAGGAGAACTTTGCTCAACAATTACTGGGCCAGGCTGCTGTAAGTTATCATCTGGCTGAGGGAATGGTAACTTTTCATCAGAATCGGACTCCTCTCCATCAAAAACAATATCAATTCCTTGAAGATCATCATCAAGATCTGTTTTTAATTGCTTTGGTTTGTTTAAATTCTCCGCATCTGTAGGTTTCACAGGAGAAGTATTTTTGAGATGTCCCACAGCCTCTCCCACTACTGTAGCTGAAGGGTTCTGACGTTCCCTTTGTCTTGCCATAAATTCATCTACATGAATTGATGGAGGTCTACCACCACCAGATCCTGCTCGTGACACTGTTATTACATTAGTAGCCCCTTCAACATTTCTCTCTCTTGCAACATAGTCATCCACATGCATAGATGGCGGTCTGCTGGTATTTGGCTTGCGCTGTCGGAAGGCATCCCTACGTGTAGGACCAGAAGGAACAGTAGACTGTGCTAAACCCCTTGAAAAAGCATTTTGAGAAGAGATCTCAGCCTGAAAACTTTCTCCTCTAGCTCGCTTTACAGGTCCATCCATTGATGGCAGTTTCCTTTTGGCAGCAAGATTTGTCTGCGTCAATCTATCAGGTAATGTTTCTGGACATTGCCAAAGAAATTTCTCCGCAAGTCCTCCAACATAAAGATGATCGTCGATCTTTTCAACACTGTTTTCAAACAACTGATGTGTCTTCGAAAAAACTAATACATCATTTTGAGGTAAAACAACATCATCCACCTTCACGGAACCAACAGGCCTTTGCAATATCAAGGACAATGAACTGACTGACTCAGAAACCTTACATCACAGATGAGTAGCAAAAAGTTACAAAATAATCAAGGGGAAAAAACAGTGAAAGAGGAAGCTGCGTTCAAATGCATTTATACCTGATACAATGGAATTTCCAAGTGAGAGGTAACCAAACAGCCATCCATAGTAGTCTTTGAACTTAACAGAGTACTAAATTCTAGTATGTAATTTATATTTTCTTCAGGAAAGCCAGCTAATCTTGTCATATCATCAGACAGCCCAAAGAGGAACTTCAATACGACTACTCTGTCAGAATTCAAACTAACCAACAGAGAAACGGTAAATTTTTTGTGCTAGATTATCCCAATGAAAACAGAGAAAAAGTATAGAGAAATTTTCATATATGTCACACAACCTTCTTTTCAGTGCTAAGAAAATTGTGATATCAAGAGATGAATCAAAATATCAGAAATATATTCATAGAAATATTTAAGCTCTTCATTGCCAAAAGATTTAATTTATAGATAATTGGGAATAAATGCCCCATATCATCAGGAATTTCCATTTCCCCACACATGTAGATGATAAGCAGACTTGAAATTTCAAATTGTTGCTTCATCTTATATTTCATCATTTTGAGCTTGGAATGACCATTTTATAAATCATTTTCCAAATTACCTGGTTTAGATTAGTATTCTCACTAAATCTTTTAGGAAATACACCTTCTAAGGTTAAGATTTTCACCAAGAAAGGGACACACTATTAACTTAACCAAGAAGGATGAGTGTGCATAGACCAAGTAAGGCTTTATCTCCTAACATTTATATTCTGTGATTTGGGAGTTCTGAAATTGTTGTCTGTCCTTACAATGTCCACTTAGATAGCAAATATACAACTATTATTTTATTTTTTTGAAAGGCAGTGACTATACTGTGGAATTGAAGCACTGCCTCTCACTTAATTTTAGGGTCTGAAAGAAGAAGCAACCATAATGCTTTGTCAATTTGTGATTTGCTTGCAGTGGTGCATTATATTATGTTGGAGAAAAAACCTAAAATAATAGGCCAAACATTCCATGTTTACAGAATTACAGTTTTTATAGCAGGTAGGATTGTTTTCTAGCTTATAGGTATCAGTTCTATATTTGAATTAATAAATGGATTGAAGAGCTCCTTAAAGATGATTTCTTCTGTTATTTAATTTATTCTACTATTTTTTTAATGGAATAGTATTTTCTTGCAAACTTTTTTTAGGAAGATTAGTTACCTTCTACTCTGGTACTTCTGTAAAAAAATATAGAACTCTAATTTTCACCATGATGTCAAGCACAACTTGGAAAATTCACCTTGGGTATTGGGATGTTATAGGGCCCAATTACGTAAAGCCCAATTGAACAAAGTTTATGTGAGGGATAAGGGCAGGAAACGATGGCAGGAACCCAATCAGTTGGTTAGTGCTGAGTCAGATTGTTTGTTAGAAGGGAATGAAGCAATACGCGTTGCAAGTTAGTTAGAGTGAGTGGGTATTAGTAGGAAGGCATGGAAAAGAAGGAAGCTCACCAATTATTTCCTTAGGAGATTTCAGAGCATCTCAAAGGCTCTTTATTTGCTTTTATTATTTCATTCCTGTAAACGTTGATCCATAGCAGTACTATGGAGAACCACGTAATGCATTTCTGTTTTCAAGTTCCATTGTTCATTGAGAAATATTAATATACAGAGAGGTTATTCAATATAATTGTATTCTGTTATTCCGATTGTATCATCTTGGTATCAAAGCTCCACCTGGGAGTTGGAGTATGACAAGAACCAGAAGCATGGAAGGAGTGGAGGAGAGAATCGTTCGCGGTGAGCAAGCTCAGGAAGAGCTCATGCGCAGGATGGATGCTAGTGATGCAAACCAAGCGGAAATCATCCGCCAATTAAGGGAACTTGGGGCTGGCTTGGAGCAGCTCCGTTCAGAAGAAGTCGGATATGGTCGCAACCGAAGGAGAAATAGCTCAGAGGGGTCCCATGGAGGTCACCGTGGGATGAATTACATGGAATCAAGAGTAAAAAAATTGGATATCCCAATCTTCACAGGGGAAAATGCATATGCATGGCTGAGTAAGGAGGAGCGTTATTTTCAAGTGAATGACATTGGGGATGAGGAAAAGGTCCCGACGGTGATGCTGGTGCTCGAAGGTGAAGCCTTAAATTGGTACCGTTGGTGGGAGCTTGACAAACCCACGGCAACATGGGTACAATTCCGGCGAGAGGTCTTGTGTAGGTTTCAGCCGGAGTTGTTGGATAATCCGAACGGGCCATTGTATGCCTTGAAACAAACCGGATCGGTGACGGATTTCAGGGTGGAGTTTGAAGCGGTGGTGGGACCATGCGCTACACAGACGAAGAGGTGTTGAAGGGTGCATGGCTCAGTGGGTTGAAACCTAGTCTAAGACAGGAGGTACTCATGACTCCTGGGCTGGGCTTAGCGTCCATGATAAAGTTGGCCCAGAAGATTGACCAACGCAACTTGACTTGGACTGAAGAGGGGGTAGGTTATTTTGGGCCCAAAAACACAATTGGGCTGCAGAGAGCGTTTAACCAGCCCACGTATCTAAAAGGAGTGGGAATTAAAAAGTCCTACGGAGTCAAATAGGGGTAATCCAAATGAAAACCCCAAATCGAATGCCCTAAATAGAGGAGCAACAGGGACGACGACGAGTGGAGTTCGGCTACGAACCAGAAAGGGGAGAGCCAAGGGAGTATGATACGATCCAGTCAGCAAATGGTTATAAAAGTGTAGGAAAGAAAGAGAAGCAGGGGAATATTGCATAATGCTGAGTCAGCAAAAGCTGTTAGCAGAGGAGGTTAGTTGTTGGGAGTCACATTGGATACACTGGAGACGTTGGGGAGTTGATATATTTAGAGGAGGGGATCATCACTCTGAAGGGGTATCTGGAATATTTGGGAATTGCTTGGGCACTTTTTGGGATTAGGAGAGAGTGGAACCTCTCATATGTGTTCCACACTATCTTACTTTTTCCTGCATTGTGATTTCTTTTCTGTCATTGTAATTTCCTAATTTCTGCAAGAGTTGTTACAAGTCTCAGTTTGTAATCGTTGTTTGTTTCAATATATAAAAGTAAAAGATTCAGATCCAAACTCTGCATTAATTCTTTTCATTCTGTTGATTAGGTGTTGGTCCGTATCAGAGTAACTTTCGCCGACTTTCCAACGCAGAGGCCACAGATCGACGCAATAAGGGGCTGTGTTTTCGATCCGAAGAGAAATGGAACCCGGAACACAAGTGTGCAACGAAAAGACTTCATCTCCTGATTATGGGTGACAGAGACGAAGATGCAGGATACGAGTTGATGGATGAAGGGGACGCTGAACTTGAAAGGCTTCGCGAGGAAGAGGAAAAGTCGTTGCAGTTGACGTTGCAGAGTATGATGGGTCTCACATCCAATCAGTCAATGAAGGTTTGGGGGATGGTGGAAGGTGAGAGGTTGGAGGTGTTGATCGATTGCGGAGCGTCCAGTGATTTTGTGAAGACCGAGGTGGCCCAACGGCTTAGGTTAAAAGTGGAGACGACTCCTGTATTTCGGGTTGAAGTAGGGGATGGACACAAGGTTGCATGCAGTGGGGTATGCAGAAAGGTGAAGATACTGATCCAAAATAACGCCATTGTGCAGGATCTGTATCTGTTTGAACTAGGTGGGGCTGACTTGGTGTTAGGACTGGATTGGTTGAAGGAGCTTGGGGATATTCGAGCTAATTTCCGTGAGATGACCCTTCGTTATGGTACCCATGGGGCTGAAGCTTTCATCAAGGGTGAACCGTCTCTGTCTAGAACAATCTCTTCTCTAAAATCTATGACCAAGGCTCTGTTACAGTCAGGTCAAATACTATGTAGACAAAGAAGCAGTAGAACCAGAAGGGAGGGACGAGGATAATTTATTCCCCAAAGGATGGACTGAGCTTGCAGAATTAATGAGGGAGTTCGAAGATATCTTTGCGAGACCTGAGGGAATGCCTCCTCCGCGGGCCAGGGATCACTCCATCACACTGAAACCAGGTAGCCAGGTACCTAATAGTTGTTGTCCTTACAGATATCCCTATTATCAAAAAAATGAAATTGATAAGTTGGTGGGGGAATTGATAAGTTGGTGGGGGAATTGATGAGTGACGGGTTTATTAGACCAAGTATTAGCCCATTGGAAGAAGGATGGCAGTTGGAGGGTTTGCGTGGACTACAGGGGATTAAACAAAATGACAGTCCCTGATAAGTTCCCGATCCCAGTGGTGGAGGAATTGTTAGATGAGCTTGGAGGAGCCACTGTGTTTAATAAGATGGACTTAAAATCCGGTTATCATCAGATTCGAATGGTGGAAGAGGACATTCCTAAGACAGCTTTCCGCAGCCATGAAGGGCATTACGAATACTTAGTTATGCCATTTGGACTCACCAACGCACCGTCCACCTTCAACGCACTTATGAATGAGGTCCTGAAACCCTTTCTAAGGAAATTTACTTTGGTATTCTTTGATGACATTCTCATTTACAGTGAGAGTCCAGGGGAGCACATTGGACATTTAAAACAGGTGTTCTCAGCTTTGCGAAGGAACAAGTTATTTGTTAACAAAAAAAAAATGTAGACTGGGGCAAAACAAAATTGAATATTTAGGCCATTTTATTACTGCTGATAGGGTTAGTGCAGATCCAAGCAAAATCAAGGCTATGGTCAATTGGCAGATTCCTAGAATAGTGAAGGAATTGAGGGGGTTTCTGGGCCTCACTGGATATTATCGCAAGATAGCTCAGCCTTTGACAAGTTTGTTGAAAAAAAAAGCATTCAAATGGGATCAAACAGCCACGGACGCTTTTCAGAGGCTAAAACAGGCTATGGTCAGTGTACTAGTGTTAGCATTACCTGATTTTTCTAAAACCTTTACCGTGGTCACTGATGCTTCAGGCAAGGGTATGGGTGCAGTGCTTATGCCGGAAGGTAGTCCTGTGGCATTTATTAGTCAAGGATTTTCTACAGGTGCTTTACATAAATCAATGTATGAGAAAGAATTAATGGCCATTGTCTTTGCAGTGAGGAAATGGCGACCGTATTTACTCAGTAGACATTTTATTGTCAAGACTGATCAAAAGAGTCTCAGATTTTTACTAGATCAGCGGGTGTTAGGCGAGGAACAACAGCGTTGGGCTTCTAAATTGTTGGGTTATGACTTTGAAATCTAGTACCAACCGGGAAAAGAAAACGTGGTGGCAAATGCCCTTTCTCGGACTATGCAATATTCAATGATTTCTCAGGTGCAGCTACCCAAATTGGAAGAGGTTGATGAGGAAGTAAAGAGAGACCAGAAGCTGCACAAGATGGTGCAAGAGTTATCATTAAACCCGGAAGCACACGATTCAAACTAGTGGGAGGTAGACTATTCTACAAAGATAGACTGGTCTTGTCTAAGGTATCTCGTTTTATTCCTTTAATTCTACATGAGTTTCACGATTCCAATGTTGGGGGTCACTTTGGGTTTTCTAGAATTTATAAAAAAATGCTGGGAATTGTGTATTGGGAGGGCATGAGAAAAACTGTTCAAGACTATGTTACTACTTGTGCTGTTTGTCAACACAATAAGGTGCAAAACCTGTCACCCGCAGGGTTATTACAGCCCCTGCCCATCCCAACACAAGTATGGTCGAGGTTTCTATGGATTTCATAGGAGGACTACCTAGAGCATTTGGGGTGGACACCATTTTTGTGGTGGTTGACCGTCTTACAAAGTACAACCATTTCATGGCTCTGTCCCATCCGTATTCAGCACAAGATGTGGCTGAATTGTTTGTTAAGGAGATTGTGTGTATGCATGGGTTCCCTTTGGTGGTGGTTTCAGATAGAGATAAGGTCTTTTTGAGCAAATTCTGGTCAGCTTTGTTCAAGGTTGCTGGTACTAAATTGCATTACAGTACAGCGTATCATCCGCAATCCAATGGGCAAACCGAGGTAGTAAATCGAGGATTAGAGACTTACCTTCGTTGCTTTTGCAGCCCAAAACCCAAAAATTGGCCAAGGTGGTTGCATTGGGCTGAGTATTGGTATAATACTACATACAAGGAATCGACCGGGATGACCCATTCAAGGCTCTGTACGGTATTGATCCCCCTCAACTGTTAAGGGTGGGGAGCAGTTTTTTGAAGATAGATGCAGTATCCGACTTGCTGGCCGAAGGGAAGCCATTCCGGATGAATTGAAACTGAATTTGGAAAAAGCACAAAATCGTATGAAGCTGCAGGCCAATCAACATCGAAGGGATGTTCAATTTGAGGTACGGGAATCGGTTTACTTGAGGATTCAGCCGTATAGGTTGAAGACTCTGGCTTCTAGAGTCAACGAGAAGTTGAGTCCCCGTTATTATGGGCCATTTGCGATTGTGGAGAAAATTGGTGTGGCTGCCTACCGTTTAGCTTTACCTGCTGGATGTAAAATCCATTCGGTTTTTCACATGTCCTTGCTTAAAAAACCTGATCCAATAGTGCAAAATGCTTACCCATTACCTGATATATTGTCAGCTGAATGGGAGTTACAAGTGCATCCGGATGACATCGTGGACTGGTGCAGGGACCCTCAAGGTAAAGTGCAGGTCCTGGTCAAGTGGCACGGATTACTGGACTTTGAAAACTCATGGGAGGATTTTGTTACTTTGGATTCTCAATTTCCAGATCTCCACCTTGAGGACAAGGTGCTTGTTGTGGGGGGGAGTATTGATAGGGCCCAATTACATAAAGCCCAATTGAACAAAGTTTATGTGAGGGATAAGGGCAGGAAACGTTGGCAGGAACCCAATCAGTTGGTTAGTGCTGAGTCAGATTGTTTGTTAGAAGGGAATGAAGCTATAAGCGTTGCAAGTTAGTTAGAGTGAGTGGGTATTAGTAGGAAGGCATGGCAAAGAAGGAAGCTCACCAAGGGGTCATTGTATGGTTATTTCCTTAGGAGATTTCAGAGCATCTCGAAGGCTCTTTATTTGCTTTTATTATTTTATTCCTGTAAACGCTGATCCATAGCAGTACTATGGAGAACCATGTAATGCATTTCTATTTTCAAGTTCCATTGTTCATTGAGAAATATTAATATACAGAGAGGTTATTCAATATAACTGTATTCTGTTATTCCGATTGTATCAGGATGCATATAACATTGATGTATCACTTATTCAAACTCTTTTCTCTCTTACTGAAAACTTATACTATCTGAAATTCATTTAAAAAAAATTAAACATCTTTCAATTACTACCTAATTTAACCTTTAATTACAACCCAACAGTGACAACTGTCTTGTGCAAACCATCACCTCCACCTTCAAGGAACCAGAAAACAAGAGGGAAAGAATGATGTTGGGCCTGTTTGATTTCTATTCTCAAACAGTTTTTGAGTTTTTAAAACAAAAACGTAAACAAAACCTGTTTGAAAATGGTTTTTGAAAAATGATTTTCAAAACAAAATGATTGTTTTTTAGTTTTAAAAACTAAAAAAAAAACAGAGCCTAGAGATGTTCTCAAAAGTTGTTTTATGGTTTTTTTGTTTTTGCAGTGAGAATTTTGTAAATACAATGATTCATTAATGGCACTTTTGTAAATAAATTTAATTTCTTTGATTTTAAATTACTTCAGGGTGGCAATCTTGTAATTATTTTATTAATGGCATTTTTGTAAATAATTACATCTTCATAACTTTAAATTTAACTACACTAAAACAAGTTTTATTGTTCTTTTACTTTCAAAATCAATTTTCAAAATTTATATTCAAAACAGTTTTTGAAAACAAAATAACAAAAACACATTCAAACAGAACCTAATAACTTCAACTGCTCTACTCTAAAATTACATGGGGCTTTGAGAATTCAATTCAAGTGAACACACAATTTGATATACATGCTTTTTCAAATCTAAGTGTGCATAAGCACGAGCATAGAAGTTAATGAGAAGCAGCAATGCAGAAACTATTGCAAAAACTTACCCGTCCTTATTCATGCAAAACAGCAGAGACCCCACAGATAATGCATAGACAGCTTCAAACGCATAAGTTGACAAACCTTCCTTTGTATCAATTGATCTCAACAACTTCATCCAACAGCTAAGTAAAGGAGGGCATTTTCTCCATTCTTCTATGCTAGGAACATTATAATTCACAATCCTATCATCTTTCTGAGGCTCAAGCTCTCGAGCATTAGAGTGGATATCAAAAAGTGTAGCTCCAAATGCCTTTTGACCCTCACTACACAAAGCTAATTCTTGGAAAGCTGTAAGACAAGCCAGTAACTCTTTTCCAACAGGCAAGACCTTGAAAAAACAGAATTCTTAGTTAAAAAAGAAGCAATACAATTTAGAACTATACAGTGAGTGTAAGCCAATGAATTTTTGCAGTCCCTTTGCCCAAGGACAAGTGTTATTTACACAGAAGAAAGGACATCTCACTATCAAAAACAAATTTTAAATAGATCTACCAGTATATATAGACAGGATCAGAGAGTCACCTGACAACTCTTCAAAAGATAATGTAAAATCAGGGCACAATCTTCATCACTCAATTTTTCAAAAAATTTACTGAAACAAAAAGAAAATTGGTCACCTAGTTTTCAAAGTTGAGTATAACATAACACTGACAAGAAAATAAACTACTCACATGTCATGTCTTCGGGGGTAGTGTCGAGAAGTTTCAGAATTAAAAAGAAGCATGATAAACTTGAATACTGGGAGACACCAACTAAAAAAATTAAAGCTGCCCTTTGCAGAACCTCTACAATCATGAGATTGCTTTCCATCAACATCAACAACAAAAAAACATCTATCCAGTACTTTTGTCAGCATCTGAAGAGAACCCTCCCTCAACAATAGGCCCTGACAGAGAGAAAGTGGACCATTTCTATATTATGTAAAACTATTATTATCACCAATAGTCAATAACACTACAATTTCCACAAAATCATGATGAAAATAAGAAACAAAAACAAAGGGAAAACAGATAAAATAGAAATATCTTGACCTCGCCAACTGGATGCTCCAATAGGCTGACAATAAAATCAAGAAGCCTCAAAACCTGAAAATAAAGGAGAAAAACTCATCATAACATCAAACTAGATAAACTACATGCTCCAAATTTTGGGGCACACAGGAACCTTACCTTGTATGCATCTGGGTCTGACGGAGAAGATGGTTCAGAAACATGATGAATAATTGATGACAATGCCGGTCGTATAAGCATAGATGCATAATTAGTATTTTGACAAGCAATGCGAATTACAAAAACACGTAGCAGATCTTGAATGACTACTAATGCCTGCCCGAAAATCAGAATGACAAAAATAACAAGTTATAAGCCCCATCGAAAATTCCCACTCCACATTAGAAAATTGAAGTTCACCATAGGCAGAAACTACATACAGAAATGGCATAATGCTGTATAATCTCAGCAATTTTGTCAAGGTGTGGTGTCAACTGGCCAACCAGCTTCTCATGGTGTCCAGATTCCAAATACCAGTTGACGTGTCTCTCCTTCTGTGGCCCTAGTAGGGTTCTAATTGCCAACATTCTTCGTGTACTTAACAAAGGCCTTCCACTAATCCAAAGCCATATATCTTCCTCAGGAAATAAATCACTCTTGCAATAGAAAACAGATAAAACAAGAAGAAATAATTATATAAATAGTCCAATAATCTTATCATACACAGCTTAAAACATAACTTTGAAGAATGGAATGAGCACCAAGTGATGTATAGTATTTAAAGAAATAACTCCAACAGAGTTGTAGCGTATTAAACTTCAAATGGAATAAGCATACCAAAAGATAGAGCAAACTGCATGTTTCTTTTGGACCTAGGGTCAACAACGAAATACCCTGAACACTGGCAAGAAGGGTGTGAAAAAGACCCGGACTCCAGCCATGTACTGGCCAAAAAGCAAGGGATGATGCAATAAGATGACAGACAGCTCCAAAACCAATAGCATAATCAGGATATGGAGATGATAAGTCTGCTGCACATGCAGCTAGCTTAGGGCTGAAACGACCAGAATTTGATCAACTTAAAGAAGATAGTATGATTTTCAAACCAGAAGCAAAGTGAAAGGAATTAACAGATACCTTATTTCCCCATGTAATCGTAAAAGAGCATTCATTAATTTTGTATTTCGATGCTGCTCCTTTGATTCCTATAAAATTGCAACCAAACACACTATGAAGAATGATATGATTATCCAGCAACAACTTCAAATACCTTTTTACCCACAAGCTTGGAAAGCTTAGTCTTGTACAGTACAATACAAAGATCAAAACACATACAGTAATTCAATGTTAGAGAATAATATAAACCATTAAAAAGGCCATCACCCAACACTTTAAGGTTTTGGATTGAAGTGATTCTTTACATGGTATCAGAGCTTCAGTACCATAAAGTCACGAGTTCGATCCTCACCTACCCCCACTTGTGGAATTAAATAAGTATAAAGTAAACCAAAAAAAATCGGGCTATGCAATATCCATGTTTCAAGCCCAAAGGACTCTTACGTGAGAAGGTGTGTTAGAGAATAATATAAACCATTAAAAAGGCACTCACCCAACACCTTAAAGTTTTGGGTTGAAGTGGTTCTATACATTCAATATCCTGCAACAACTTCAAATACCTTTTTACCCACAAGCTGGTCTTAATCTTTGATAATCTTAGATAACATAATAAGGCACAGAAAATAACACACAATTCAAGGAAAATGTTGCACATAATACAAAGCTTCACTATTAAACAATAAAATGTCTTATTGCCTCAAATTTAGCCCAATACATATTGCTGCAGAAAAACTCAAAGAAACTACTGAGTTTACACTGTTTTTAGGTGAGATATAATCACCAATCATCATATAATAATCAATTCACAACCCTGAAAATAGTTAAACTTTTTTACAATAATTTTTCAGTCAGTAAGATACATGTCATGCTTTAAATGTAAATTGTACAATTTCCCAACCAAATAAGTACCACATAAAAGTATGATGGAGTGAAAAGACAGGACCTCTAAATGACACACCTGTAATTTCTGCAGAAGTGTAATCAGAAGTGCAAGAGAGGGAACCAAAAGATCAACGATGCTCAGCTCGCGAGTACGTTCCAATAGTAAATCTGATGTAGTATTGCATTCTGTACCCTCATCGACAAGGTAATCTGTTCAAAAGAATAGAAAATTACATTTGCCAAGCTTTAGAAAGAATAGATGACAATATAAATATCTATTTAATAGAAAAGTAAATTCTATAAAAAATAATAGAACGGAAGTACACATACAATGCGGATGAGGATCTAAAACACAAAAACAAAATGGAGTAAATAGAGAAAAACTAGAGAGAATGCAGCAAGGCTTCCCAATCTTTGGGCATGTCAGACATGGCCACACCTATTGAACAACCACGGGAAGAACACCAGAGAGTCTAAAAAAGCAATCTTACCCCAAAGACACATAGTAGATTTAACAGCAACAATTAAGGAAACACCCTTAAAGTTACATGTTTTGCTCCAATCAAGTGCTCCAAAGAATTGCATAACTACACACTGCCACAGAACTTCAGCCTCTTTTAACCAAATCCTTTCGTAACGAACCAATAGGAATTGCTCCAAGGTAGGAGACACCCAATACTCATTTGGAACCCCAAAAAGAATATATTACAAAGGAAAGTTCCTAGCAGTGCAAGAATAAAAGACTCATTTTCATAACTAGACTTGTACATAACACAGATGTCAGGACAGAGAGAAAAATTAGCCACTTAGGCCTATGAATCTGCACAGATAATGTGTGTTAATCCTGTTTTGCGGTACAAGTGTTTATCCTATTAACTACAGCTGGCCATACAAAGGATTTGATCTTAGAAGGAGCTTTGCATTTCCAAATTGTTTTATCAAGGAGGAATCTTTCACTGATTGTGGAGTGTGAATGAAATTGAAAAAGGGATTCACAAAAGTACACACCAGAAGAGTCCAAAATCCAAACTCTCCTATCAGAATTAGCATAGAAGTGAACATAATAAAGTAAAAGAAAAGTGCAATCATTTACTTCTCTACCACTCAAAATGAATACCCCAGTTTAAATGGGAGCAATAGTGCAAGGTGGAGAGGCCATAGAGACAAGGAAGAGCCTCTAGGAATGAGACAGTAGGTGTAAAGAACCTTGGGATACACTACCCCAAAAGCTAGCTCTAAGGGTGGGAGTGCCCAAGTCCTTATAAACTCCACATTAGTTGCACATACAACCAATGTGGGACTATATATCTCAACACGCCCCCTCACACGAGAGCCCATTGGGCTAGAAGCGTGGATATTGCACAGGCCCAATTTTTGGTTTACCTTTTTGTGCTTTTATTTTAATTCCACTTTAAAGTGGGGGCGGTGAGGATCGAACTTGTGACCTTACAGTCACTCAAGCTTTGATACCATGTAAAGAACCTTGGGATACACCACCCCAAAAGCTAGCTCTGAGGGTGGGAGTGCCCAAGTCCTTATAAACTCCACATTAGTTGCACATACAACCAATGTGGGACTATATATCTCAACAGTAGGGAATATTTATTAATGGAACTGTAGAATATAAGATAATAAGCAGATGGGAGAATAGCTTCCTGTAGCCAATCAGCAAACTAACTTTTTTAAGACCATGAGGTGTCCCCACACCTTTTGGGTGTAGGACAAATCCCCACTGAGATATCGGCTTTGCCTTGGCCCCAGGCTGCTACCAGTGGGTTCAAATCCCGCACAACAAGAAAATTCCACCCACATAGAGCTCAATTTGCTAATTGAGCCACACCTGGTGGTTTGCAGATTGTCTAAAGGGAGCATAACATTGATAGATGCCCTCCTATTACTGGAGTTTATGTAATAAAAGGGAAATGAAGTAGATTAATGACCTACCTGATCGAGGGGTAAGGTAGAAGGGAACATGCCAGGAGAATTTTCTAGTAACTGCCAAGACACCGAGCAAAGAGGGAGACGAAGTGATGGTGGCATTCTATTATTAGAGCAGAAGAGGAATAAATGTGAGAAGGAAGCGGGGGAGGGGTAGGAAGAATTCAATAGAGTGGGATTGGGAGAAAGCTAGCCCCTCACAGACGTAACCTAGTCATTGTAATTTCCATTTTTGTTTCTTTCTTATTTCAGTTTCTGTGATTTCTAAGTTAATTCCCAGTTTTCAGCAATTTCAGACTAGGTTTGCTGATTGTCTAAATGGAGCACAACATATATCCTATTAGAGAAATAATATAAAACCATGAACATATATCCTATTAGAGAAATAATATAAAACCATGACTGTGGCCTTCACTTCACAACTTAAACTTTTGAGTTGAAATAGTTCTTTACATGGTATCAGAGTCTCCGTGATCAAGTGGTAACGAGTTCGATCCTCGCCACCTTCATTTTATTAATAAATAATTAAATATTGTGAAGTTTCTTAGCATAGGTAGGTGGGACGTGTACATTGTCCATCCTTCAAGTTCAATAGACTCTTGTGTGAGACATATAATATAAAACCATTATTGTGGCCTTCACCTAATAGCTTAAACTTTTGGATTGAAATAATTCTTTATACATACAATACAAATAAATGAATTTATATAATCTCATAAAATAAATAATAGAATCATATACAAATAAAGAAATAATTATATAAATTAATACAATATAAAGGACTATAAGTCAACTAAAGCCAAGGTAAATTGAGCTCTTGGAAGGTCACACAATGCTTACAGATAGTATTATCTCAAGCAAAAAGTGAGACCAACTTCAAGACCAAAAGTTGGTGGACACATAAAGAGCTTATGATCTTATGAATCAACTAGTAAGCCAATACAGTCAATTGTTACAAATTTGCATTCTTAGACAATTAAGTTTTATTACTTATCAAAAGTGGATACAGAAATACTACTCTAAACAAATAATGAATGTTTTCCAAGAAACCATTCTCGAATGGTCAAATGCAGTGCCCTTTAGTTTCACTAATAATATAAAATGTCTGGCAAGCAGCCATTCTATTGAAAACTGTTCATAACACCAACTCACTAATCTGGCAAGTAATGCATACAAAATATTATGAAGGGAAGGTCGGTCCTAATTTGATGTGCCAGAGAACCTATTATAACAAGTATTATAATTAAAAAAAAAAACACTCCCCGTAAACCCGACTAGCGAGTGTGGGGTGTATAACAAGTATTATAATTAACTTACCATAATTGTTTGAGGACCTCTCAAGCATGAATCTGCAGTTGACTAAAATGGCATAAATAACAACTACAGCACCTTCGTCATATAGAATAGCAGCAATAGTCTGCATTGATTAAAACTGTCATAAAAAAGGATTTATAATTACAAATGGAACAATTCAAAATATAATGTAACATACTGGGTTCTCAGAAATAAAAGACAAAATCCTTAATGCTGTTGTCAACTGTGCCAGAGAAGAATCACGGAGAGTAACACCATCAAAAGACTTTTCAGATATAAACTTTGCAAGATTCTCCATAACATTAATATCAGAGCCACTGGAAGACTCTCCGACAACATTTTCAACATCAGTCAGATCTGAAACTAGGATGCTAGTCGAAGTTAACTGGGCATCTCCTCCAGAAGCCAATACAGCAGCATAGCGTAAGAGACCAATACCCCCATGCTTGTGATATACTACACCAGCATCTATCCATTCCAACAGCCGTGAGGGAGCATCTTTTCTGTTGGACCCTGGAGAGGAGAAATGCAAAGCCCTATGAAGTTCCATAGCATGTCCAATCCAGGAACCCAATGATGTTGCTGTGGAATCTGTAACAATGGCTTCAATAATCTCAGCAGCTGAGTGAAATATTGTAAGATTTACTGGTGAAGATCCTGAATGCAGCAGAGTAAAAACGAGCAGTTTAGACCATTAAACAAGAAATCATGCAATACTTTGTAGAAGAGAATAGGGTGACTTCGCTACCGCTGTTTTTCCCAACAGATTCAGATTCCTTGACAGAACTTAATGCTTCAATCAAGATGGAAACAGCCTACAGTGAAGGGAAGAGTCATACTAGAGTACTCAAGAGCCTAAAAATAGGCAGTATATCATATAGTACAATGCCTAATATCACAAATTAATTTAAACTCAGTTATCTAGATCTACAACAGAAACAGCCAACTATGGTATTTACGGCTAATTTCTATAACTATAAACTAGCACTGATTTCATACACAAATAACCACATTAAGCATAACAAAATGAAATTGCCACCTATTTTAGGCAATAAAGCTTCAGATAATTCCAGGTAAAATACAAAGTAAAAAATACCAACCATCCACACCTTAAACATATTACTTTGCAAAATATTATAACTCATCACTTCAAATCCAGTGAGTGAGCCAAAAGACTATACACTCGATAGCATAAACTTCCTGATATGGTATTATTATGGCTTGTTACGGCATATTTTTAAACATACCTCAGGAAAATTTCCCAAAGCCAACAATGCCTGGCGCCCACAATCAGACCTACAAATCATCAGCAGGTTTAATTCAGAACTCAAACTAAGTTAAAAATATTTAAGATTCAATTCTAACAAAAATAAGGCAATGTCCACCTTGAGAGAGCCGAGAGTTCCCACACAACCCATAAGAACTCTTCCGAATGCGGATTTGATGAAAGCAAACAATCGATGGCATTAACCTAGGCATAGTAAAAATTATTATAATTAGGTATAAACCAGTAATAGAATTCAAAATCTAAAAAAGTAGGGACGAAGCAAACGGGCTGTAAGGACACTTTTTTTGAGCATGACTAACCATTTTTAAATGAATCCCAATTATCATTCCTATCTCCAGGGGACTACAAAAGAAACCCTTTGAAATCAAAACGGAAGCATATCGGAGAGGAATACAATCTTCCTTGTTGCCACGATGACCACCCCTAAGGGCATGGATTAAAGTACTAGAAATTTCGGGATCCTGTAATAGGAATATTAAGCCTACAATGATGGGGGAAAAGTCAATCAAATTACTGGATATTTTGTTTCCTTCTTTCTGATAATAGATCAAACAATGTGTGTGTTAATTGTAGCCAACCTGAACGACAAAAAAGAAATGAAAGAATAATAGCCTCAATGGATGACGTGACATCCATGAATATTTCCATGATATGTCCCCCTTCCACACGCAGTATAGACGATGATAGTAGTGCAGTTGATAATGAAAGAAATCCCCGTTCCTGCATGAAGATAACATGAGAATATTAATAAATAAAAGTATGAGCACAATAAAGAATTGTAAGAATAGAAATTAGTCCCGGCCCTCACATTCAAATACCATCTTCCTTTACTGATATACAGACAAGAAAGAACAAAAGATTTACTTAATAGCAACACACATGACAGATCAAATGGCCATACATGTGAGAAGCTGCATCCCAAACCTGAGCAAGTAAATTTTTTAGCAATAATGTGTCACAAAATTGGTATACCTTTAAAAGCCCCAATAAATGTGAATCGATATCCCAATCTGAAAAGCAGCAACTTGAAGAGCTGATCATGCAGGAAGTTGTTTTATATGACAACAATCCATCAGTTTGGCCAGTAATCAGTGATCTGCTTGCACAAGCCATGGGAGAAGGGTCTTCAATTGGACCACGTGAATTTATCAATTTCTGCATTAGTACTTGTCAACAAACATTAACATGAAATTATTTAAAATTACAAATTATTCTCATAAGTCAAAAGACATAACCTACCTAAGGTGTGGAGAAAAATAAATAAAATCCCACTCGGTACTATTTTCTAATACTACAAAAGCTACAATTGATTGAATTAAAACTGACCACGAGTTTTCTGAGCAGAATTTCAGCAGACCTAAGCATGTTCAAGGTAACATCTGTAATCCTGCCAAGGGTACTGATGTTTCCCAGCACAGACAAAACTGCAGACTGGCAAAAATTAAATTACCACAAGATAAAGATGATGTTTTGAAATGCAAAGAAACATTCATATCAAGCACATAAGTTGAAAGCAATACCTCATATCTTGAAGCAACTTCATAAAATCGTAAGCGATGAAGCAAATAGGTTGCAAGAGAAGCAACATCATGACGAGGTTTTGACAATATCAACTTCAACAAATGGCTATAACCTTCACTGACACCAGAGGGAATACTTTCATCTTCCCGAGGCCACCAACCTAAAAAGCCTTCACATCCAACTGAATACCTAGTAGCCCGCTCTACAACACCAAGAAGCAGGAGCATAATAGTGGTGGAATTCTGCCCGTCCTTGGAAAAAAACATTGCAAGCTGCTCCAGTCCCCCACTATTAACAAACTGAAAGCAGCTCTCTCTCCCGGAACATAGTAAATGAGCCATGCTTAATCCTAATAGAGCATGCTCACTCTGCAGTGAAAGGTGTGGAAACATAAGCAGTGAAAAAAGACAAACAAAAAAAGAAGCAAATATGCAAGAAAGGTGGAAGTGCATTAATTGATTCTAACTTTCTTAACTAATAGGGAGATGTTGGTAGAGTATGTGAGAGGAATACAATAGATTACCCGAGAAAGACAGTGATCTCCTATATTAGAAGAGTGCCTTCCAAAATGAAAGTACTGGTTAAATATATCCACCAACGTTTTGGAATCCAACATTTCAGCCTCCAATTCAAGATAATTGTCCTCTAATGAATATTCAGAAGATTCACTCCCGGATTTTTGTCGAAGAACCTTATAAACCTCAAGAAGCTCTTTTCTTGCCTCATTAACAACACTGTGCAACTCTTTAAAATTCTCAGATCTCTTTCGTGTCTGATATCCCCCACTTATTGATTCACATATGTCACTGGAAATGTAAGAAGAGATTGCTGACACCACAGTGCTTACAACTTTATGTCCAGCATCCCCAAGCTCTGAAAACTCCAAAATCTTTAACATTAACTGCAGAAACAGTTTGACTTCAGCAGAAATATCTGTTGCAGGAACTGGAATAGACAAGACACTCAGAGAAGAAAGAGAATCTTCAATAGTAAAATTAGTAGAACGTAATGCATGTGGCAGGTCTTCAAGCTTCCCCTCAGTAGAATCAACAAGATCAGTCAACGCATTATCATCAAATTCGATGTTAAACTGACCAAGATCCTCAGCTGTGTTGCCATATATAACCAAGCTCAGACTGCGATAGCTTCCCCTTACAACCAGATGATTAGTAACAATAGCCTGAGAAAGAGAAAGCAGTACTGAAACGGTAATTATGCTATAAATCTTCTTGATAGAAAAAAAAATTACAAGTTTGCAAGATTGGGCAAATTAGTAAAAAGTAAGGACGATAATTTATCCACCAAACGTCTATATCAAATCAAGAAAATTAATAACATATATTATATATCATATATCATAAGCAAGCAAGATTAGCCATATGTACCTGTTGGTAATTGTGGGTGACTATGTAAATAGTATCTTGTTGATTATGTAAATAGGGTAGTCAAAATCATGTAATTACGGCAATTAAGATAGTAGTGATATATGAATTTATTTTGTAATTATTGTTTTTGGCTATATAATCCAACCCCCATTGTGTAATTGAGTTTGAGACACACATTTCATTAAGTCTCTCGTTTCTTCCCTTAACATGGTTAGAGCCAGCAAGAAGGGTCCAACCCGTCGAGTCAGCCTGTCTAACCCACAAATCATGGCAAGTTGGGTTGCAAATTTCAAGCCATGGCCTTAGCCGCTTGCCAACTTATTTGGCTAAAACAGCTGCTTAGAGATCTACAATTTGGAGACTACGCAAACAGTACTAGTTTCTGATAACCATGCTACATTGCAAATTGCCTCCATTCCAGTGTTTCACGAGAAAACCAAACACATTAAGATTGATTTCAGTTCATTGAAGAGAAAATATTATATGGAGACAACACCACTAGCTTTGTTCACTCGAATAATCAATCAGCAAATGTTTTCACTAAATCTTTGGGAGGTCCTGGAATAAGTTACATATGTTACAAGCATGGTGCATATTACCTATATGTTCCAGCTTAAAGGGAGTATTGGTGATTGTAGTTAACTATGTAAATTTTATCTTGCTGATTATGTAAATCGGGTAGTCAGAATCATGTAATTGTTGTAGTTAGGATAGTAGTGATATCTGTACTTATTTATTTTGGCTATATAATCCAGACCCCATTGTGTACCCAAAACTCTAATCACACTTTTTCATTAATATTAATCAGCAAAACTTAAATTAATGCTTTTTGTATATTGGAGCAATTCATGTGAAAAAAATCTTCCAAACAATAATATTTACTTTAACTGTTCTTTAATCAGAAAAAAAATAATTTAGAACTAGAGTTTGTCACAAGCATAAAATTTACTTTTCAGCACATACATTTTTCACATCTACCTGTTTAAAGATCAAACAGAAATATAATAACATAAGATATAATTTTGAACAAATTCAACAGAAATAGAAGCACAATTAAATAATCAAACAGTTGGAGGAACCAGGAACCAGACATTGTTAATAACAGCCAGATTATAATATCATCTAAAATGTTGTAAATACCTCTACTTCCAGTACATTTGATGAAGAGTGTGAATAGAGAAAAGGCTGACAGAGTCTTCTAAACCTCGTCTCTCCCTCACAATGAACAAATACCTCTATGGCAAATGACGGAGGTGAAGTTGCCCTGAAAAGGTTGCCAGCAATTAACTAATTGATTGCAAAATCTTCAACAGTCACCCAAAATCATAAAATAAAAAATAACCCTTATGACCAAATGAAGCAAGCATACAGCACATGAAGGAACAAAACAAGCCAGAACAACCACAAACTATATTACATTTCAAAACAACAATCAAACTCTCATCGCCAAGCAACTATGTAAAGTGGTTTCCTACCATTTCAAACCAATCAAATAAAAAAGAAATGCAACCAAAAAAATTTAAAAAATAAAAACAAAGACAAAGACATACCCAACAAGTGTTACTGCTTGGGCAACCGATGATGCACTCTGCTCCAGGAACTCACACGCGGTGATAACAATGGGTTCAGAAAAAATCACCTGCAAGCAACAATTTTTAGTGACACCCAACATAAATCTACCAAGTTCGAATGATAATACCAACGCAGTGCCCTAGTAAAACACATTTCGAATTCCCTTGTTGCTAATCCGTAGAAACATGGTGAGGAAGAGTAGGAGGTAGCAACTACCAACCAAGCTTAAAGGTTTACCAAAAAATTACATTCAAATTTTCACTGAGCATTGCAATTGAAAGAATGGGGCTTCAGCAAAGAAAAAAAAAAAGATGAAAATCGAATGTGGGGTTACCTCGTCGACGTACTCATCGAGATGAGGGTGAACGAAGGTCTGTGCGAAGAGGACGAATGGCTCGGGTCGACCCATGTGGAAGCTTCAATGATTGCGATTTGGGATCGAGAGAAGAGGAACATGCAAAATTTGAAATTCTAGGGTTTATGTTTTGGAGCCTCTCTCTCTCTCTCTCAGATGTGAAACGCTTAATGGAGATTCCTTTTATGGTTGATGACTCGTCGCGGACCTCTGAGACAGGGAAAGGAAAAGGGGGTTTAGGGAGATAATCCCTTCATGATTTTAGTTAAATTCATAAATAGATTCATGCTAATCGGAAATTCTTTTAGAAGAAATAGAAATAGAAATTCATCTTATTAATCTTGAATTTTGAATCATTGAAAGTAATAGCATAATGAGATATTAATTAAGAATATACTAGTGCAGTACCCGTGCGATGCACGGAGAAAACCAATTATTAATAGGCTTAACAATTTAAGATGCCGAAAGTTGTGGTATTATTAATAGGTTTAACAATCACCTGTGCAAAAAGTAGAGATATATTAATATAGCTATTTGACTTTCAATTTTAAACTTTTTTCCCCACCTATGAAGTTTAAATTTAAAATTTAGATTGTTTTTATCAACTATAAATATATTTTTATAATTTCTAATACATTTTTTGTTTAATCTATAATTTTATATTAAATTCAAATTTATTATATATATCTTTTTCCCACGACAGAAATATTAAATGTTGAACTCTTTTCCCACCTATCAAGTTCAAAATTCAAATTGAAAAGTTTAAATTTTAAATAGTACATATTTTCTCACCCAATAGTAAGTATTATTAATAGACATAATAATTTTTCATATAAAAAGTAGTGAAAAATATCCATAAAAGGTTGTGTACTTTCTCCAAATAATAGCTTTTAGTTATTCATTCATGACATATTTTTTTCGTGTTAATTATACTCTTTCAATAAAAAATTGAAAGTTTAATTTCTTTCTCACATACTAAATTAAAAAATTTATTTTTATAGTGATTAAATTTTTATAATCTATTTTTTACAGAATGATAGATGTCATTTTAATTTTATTTAAATTTAAAATTTAAATTCTTTTGTATTAATTATACATTTTCTATATGATTTTTTCTCTTTTAATTTATGATTTTTATACGTTTTTTAAAATTGGTTATACATGTATATTTAAAATGTTCATCTTAAATAATTTTGTTATTTTGCAATATTTTTTTAAATTTTTTTTTTTTTTATGCAGCATTGATAGGGCTAACAATTATCCATGCACAAAATAGTGGAATATACAACAAAAGAAAAGTAGTAGTTTTTTTTACTCATAATATACAACAAAAGAAAAGTAGTAGGACATTAAGTGAGCTCTATGCCACCAAAATTATTGTCCAAATGTCTTCCCACCAATACAAAGTTTAAAATTCAAAATTCAAAATTCAAATTCAAAATTTAAATTTAAATTTAAATGAAATTCGAAATTGAAAATAAATATTTCAGAAAACAATGAGTTATTATTAACTTGAAAATTCTAATGTAGAAAGCAGTGGGATATTAAATGAATTGTCTGCCACAAAAAATTGTTCACATAATTATCTATTTTATTTATTTACAAATTTTAATTTTGTTTTATATTTATTTAATTTAAAATATTTGTGTTTTTTTACAAAATATTTTGGTTTTTTTAATGATTATTTTTAACAAAATATTTTTTTTTTATGCAGCATTGATATGGTTAACAATTACCCATAAAGAAAGTAATGAGATATAATAAATGAGCTGTCTACCACCAATAATTGTCCAGATATTTTCCCACCACTACAAATTTTAAAATTCAAAATTCAAATTCAAATGAAATTCGAAATTTAAAATAAATATTTCAGAAAGCAATGAGTTATTATTAATATGAAAATTCCAATGTAGAAAGCAGTAAGATATTAAATGAGTTATTATTATTTATTTACAAATTTCGATTTCATTTTATATGTATTTAATTTAAAATATTTGTGTTTTTTTACAAAATATTTTGTTTTTTAAATGATTATTTTTTAACAAAATAGTTTTTTTTATGGAGCATTGATATGGTTAACAATTACCGATATAGAAAGTAATGAGATAATAAATGAGCTGTCTGCCACCAATAATTGTCCAAATGTTTTCCTACCACTACAAAGTTTAAAATTCAAAATTCAAAATCAAATGAAATTCAAAATTTAAAACAAATATTTCAGAAAGCAATGATTTATTATTAAATGAGTTGTTTGCCACGAAAAATTGTTCACATAATTTTCTATTGTATTCATTTACAAATTTTGATATTATTTTATATTTATTTAATTTAAATTATTTGCGTTTTTTTACAAAACATTTTCGTTTTTCTAATAATTATTTTTTAACAAAATAAATTGTTTTATGCAGCATTGATATGGTTAACAATAATCCATATTGAAAGTAATGAGATAATAAATGAGTTGTCTGCCACCAATAATTGTCCAAATATTTTTTCACCACTACAACGTCTAAAATTCAAAATCAAAATTTAAATTTAAACGAAATTCGAAATTTATAATAAATATTTCAGAAAGCAAGTGTTTATTATTAATTTAGAAATTTCAATGTAGAAAGGAGTGGGATATTAAATGAGTTGTGTGCCACAAATAATTATTCACATAACTGTCCATTTTTTTTATTTACAAATTTTGATTTTATTTTATATTTATTTAATTTAAAATATTTGCATTTTTTTACAAAATATTTTTTTTTAATGATTTTTTTTAACAAAATAGTTTTTTTTTATGCAGCATTGATATGGTTAACAATTACCCATGTAGAAAGTAATGGGATAATAAATGAGCTGTCTGCCGCCCACCAATAATTGTCCAAATATTTTTTCACTTCTACAAAGTTTAAAATTCAAAATTCTTTTATAAAAAAAAATTCAAATTCAAAATTCAAATTTAAATGAAATTCAAAATTTAAAATAAATATTTCAGAAAGCAATGATTTATTATTAATTTGGAAATTTCAATGTTGAAAGCAGTGAGATATTCAATGAGTTGTCTGTCACGAAAAATTGTTCACATAATTGTCCATTTTATTTATTTACAAATTTTGATTTTATTTTATATTTATTTAATTTAAAATATTTGCATTTTTTTTTCAAAATATTTTCGTTTTTTAATGATTACTTTCTAACAAAATAGTTTTTTTTTATGCAGCATTGATATGGTTAACAAATACCATGTAGAAAGTAATGGGATAATAAATGAGTTGTCTGAAAGTAAAAAGAGGGCCTTGAAGGCCGTAGCATGTGAGAGGAGAAAAACAAATTTTTTCCGCAAGCGGAATACACATGCATATCAAGATACATACTTTAAGACGTATGTCATACCTTGTTCGTGAAAAACTCAAGACGATCAAAGGTAGGTCTGAAAGGTTCAGACCCTCTAATGTTGATCCACACCACCTGCGTCTAGATACAGGAACTCCTTCCAGTAAAGCCGCCAATTGATCACCACAAAGAGGCTTGTTATACGCTCAATGTGTGATGAGAGGAGGCTATGTAAAAGTGTTTGGAAGAGTGAAGTTTTCTGAGAGAAAACCTCACAAAAGTGGCGCAGGAAATTAGGAGAGAATGGCTTGGTTGGTTTTCTAAAAACCCTAGAAGGAACATATATAAAGAGGCGAACAAGAGGAGCCTATTTGTTAAAAACAAATCAGATTTTTAATCAATAAAAATCCCTTCCAAAAGGGCGCTCCATCAAAGAGAGAGAGAATAGGATTTGTTGCAAATCAAATCTCATCAAATCTTGCCAACAACATCCTATCATATCTTTATGATATATTAGGTTCAAAACCTAATCAAATATCTGATCATAAATCATCATATAATCAGTTATATGGTGCGCCCTATATAGCCTAAATAATGACCAGATACATTTGAGTCATCAAATCACTCAAATATTCTCTCAACAGATTGTATCTTCTGGAGCTGATACTGATGACTAATCATCAGCCATATTAGCACCCCATATCTCCTTGGATTATGTCCAAGAGATTTTCTCTTGATATGTTCCAACAAGATCTAATCTTGTTATGTTCCAACAAGATCTTATCTTGTTATGTTCCAACAAGATCTTATCTTGTCTTTTTCAAACAAGATCTTATCTTATCCTTTTTCGTAATGAAACAATTTTCATAGTCAATTCTAATTTAATTATTAAATTCAAATATTAAAATATTCAAATTTAAACTTTCAAACATTCAAATTCAAAATTCAAATTTCAAAATTCAAATTTCAAATTTCAAATTCGAATTTCAAAATTCAAATTCAAAATTTAAATTTCAAAATTCAAATTTTAAATTCCAAAATTCAAAATTTAAATGTTTGATAATTAATTAATTTAACTAATTAAATTAATTAGTAATGACTTGGACTATCCAAGCTCATTACATTAACCATGCGCCCTCCACCCCTTTAGGTGGAGTTCCAAACTACTTTTTGGGCTAATAACTATTATAAGGCCCAATACTTTTAATGCTAGAGCATCTAGACAATTAGGTGTTTGTGTGTGACCCATTAGGTCCAACATAGCCACTGACATAAATGGGCTTGGGCCCAATAAGCCCACAACTCATCTAATGACAACACAGAGCACTAGCAATGCTTTGTTGCCCCAGAACTAGTTAGATTAATGATTTGATCATCCTATTAAACATATTTGGTTGCTGTATGTTTGTCCATTCGTCTCGGTTACCTTCCCATAAAACCTAGGGTAAAGAAACGTATCATCCCTTGCGGCGGTTTAGGGTTAGCTTTTTATAAAATAGGGAGTCTTCAATTTACTGACTCTAAAGGCAGATCATCTTATTATCTCTTTTACTATGCATAGATTCCCGAGTCAATGTAAATGTCATCCCGATTTCTCCGGTTTAAGGATAACCTAATCTCTCACAGAGATTTGACGAATTCCTTCAGCTTATCACCCTAGCCCAGTGCCCTATCAGGACAAGCCCAAGAGCATACCTATGAATCTCCATGTTTCAGGCAGACGAGGTATACAGTCAAAGCATGCCTTCTAGAACACAGTCTAAGTGATAACTTCTGGTCTAAGGAAAGACATACTCAAATATAAAGAGACTACTCTAATGATACTATCTGTGAGATTTCCTCATAGAGTCTCTTTGTGGGTCCGTTCAGTGCGAGCTATACTCTTA